AACCTACCCTACACAGTGCACCTAATGTGTGTGGGAGCCTGGAGTGTCCCTTTAATAATATAAACCCACCCAGTATAACTAACTGTAACCTAACCTACACAGTGCACCTAACGTGTGTGGGAGCCTGGAGTGTTCCTTTAATAATATAAACCCACCAGTATAACTAACTGTAACCTAACCTACACAGTGCACCTAACGTGTGTGGGAGCCTGGAGTGTCACTTTAATAATATAAACCCACCCAGTATAACTAACTGTAACCTAACCTACACAGTGCATCTAACGTGTGTGGGAGCCTGGAGTGTCTCATTAAAAATATAAACCCACCCAGTATAACTAACTGCAACCTAACCTACACAGCGCACCTAACGTGTGTGGGAGCCTGGAGTGTCCCTTTAATAATATAAACCCACCCAGTATAACTAACTGTAACCTAACCCACACAGTGCATCTAACGTGTGTGGGAGCCTGGAGTGTCCCTTTAATAATATAAACCCACCCAGTATAACTAATTGTAACCTACAAAGTTCACCTACTGTATGTGGGAGCCTGGCATGTACCTTTGATAATATAAACCCACCCAATATAGCTAACTGTAACCTAGCCTACACAGTGCATCTAACATGTGGGAGCCTGGAGTGTCCCTTTAATAATACAAACCCACCCAGTATAACTAACTGTAACCTAACCTACACAGTGCATCTAACCTGTGTGGGAGCCTGAAGTGTCCCTTTAATAATATAAACCCACCCAGTATAACTAACTGTAACCTAACCTACACAGCGCACCTAACGTGTGTGGGAGCCTGGAGTGTCCCTTTAATAATATAAACCCACCCAGTATAGCTAACTGTAACCTAACCTACACCCAAGCGCATCCTAGCGTGTAAGGGCCACAGGTGTCAAAAGCTTTAATAATATAAACCCACCCAGTATAACATACAGCTTCTAGCCTACATGGCGCTAGCACGTGTGTGGGAGCCTGGAGTGTCCCTTTAATAATATAAGCCACCCAGTATAACTAACTTTGTAATCTATACCACACGAGATTGCATCTAGCGTGTGCTTGGGAGCCTGGAGTGTCCCTTTAATAATATAGAGCCCACCCAGTATAACTAACTGTAACCTAACTTACACAGTGCACCTAACGTGTGTGGGAGCCTGGAGTGTCCCTTTAATAATATAAACCCACTCAGCATAACTAACTGTAACCTAACCTACACAGTGCACCTAACGTGTGTGGGAGCCTGGAGTGTCCCTTTAATAATATAAACCCACCCAGTATAACTAACTGTAACCTAACCTACACAGTGCATCTAACGTGTGTGGGAGCCTGGAGTGTCCCTTTAATAATATAAACCCACCCAGTATAACTAACTGTAACCTAACCTACACAGTGCATCCTAACGTGTGTGGGAGCCTGGAGTGTCCCTTTAATAATATAAACCCACCCAGTATAACTAACTGTAACCTAACCTACACAGTGCATCTAACGTGTGTGGGAGCCTGGAGTGTCCCTTTAATAATATAAACCCACCCAGTATAACTAACTGTAACCTAACCTACACAGTGCATCTAACGTGTGTGGGAGCCTGGAGTGTTCCTTTAATAATATAAACCCACCCAGTATAACTAACTGTAACCTAACCTACACAGCGCATCTAACGTGTGTGGGAACCTGGAGTGTCCCTTTGATAATATAAACCCACCCAGTATAACTAACTGTAACCTAACCTACACAGTGCATCTAACGTGTGTGGGAGCCTGGAGTGTCCCTTTAATAATATAAACCCACCCAGTATAACTAACTGTAACCTAACCTACACAGTGCATCTAACGTGTGTGGGAACCTGGAGTGTCCCTTTAATAATATAAACCCACCCAGTATAACTAACTGTAACCTAACCTACACAGTGCACCTAACGTGTGTGGGAGCCTGGAGTGTCCCTTTAATAATATAAACACACCCAGTATAACTGTAACCTAACCTACACAGTCACCAAAACAACTTTAGCTCAATTAAGCAGTTTTGGTGTATAGATCATGTCCCTGCAGTCTCGATTCTCTACTAGTTTGGAGTTAAATCATTTTGTTTATGCAGCCCTAGTCCCACGTCCCTCCATGTGACTTACACAGCTTTCCTAAACACTTCCTGTAAAGAGAGATTTGATATTTAAAGGGACACTGTAGGCAGCCAGACCACTTCTGCCTGTTATTATTATTATTATTATTTTATTATTTATATATGTTGGAGTGGTCTGGGTGCCTTGCCCCTCTCACCTTAGACCTGTTAGTCAAAACACTGCGGTTTTGGAGAAACCGCATTGTTTTGATTACAGGGCTAATTTAACCTCTAGTTGCTGTCTCTCAGACAGCCGCTAGATGGTTTTCCATGTTCTTAGAGCACGAAAAGTGTTTCAAATGACGTTCGACGGCCCCACGCTCTGCATGAAGACGTAGAGCGTCGCTGGAATCCCCATAGGAAAGTAATGAATAATGCTTTCCTATGGGGAGGTCTAATGCGCGTGCACGGCCATGCACATTATGTCTTCCCCGCCAGCATCCTTTCTGCTTCAGCAGTGGAAGTCCCAGCGGAATGTTCTGGCAAAAAACTTAACTGATGATACAATAAGTTCAGCATTTTTTATCTTTGCTTTGCGGTTCCTTGATGCAATGTATCTTCAGTTTATTCCCATATAAACCAATTACATTGATGGTTAGCACCCAGTCTCCCAGATGTACGATCACTTACCTTATTGAAGAATGAACCTCACATCTTGTCTATTGTCTGTATATCACTAACACACTGACTATCGGATATTAAAGATTTAACATGCTAACACAGGGTATGATTGATTTATTCAGGAATATAAGATAAATACAATATTGATCAAGACGGTATGTTTGTTTGCTTAGATTGGTGCCCTTACTTGATTGGGATGAGAAACAATTCTTTGATTTACAATATGGCATGAACAAGCAAAAATATCTGGTTATATGTTCTTGATGTGGGAAAAAAAACAGATCACTGTCTATAACCTACTGGCTGATACCGGTGGCAGTGATTATAATGAATGAATGGAGCAGCAGCCAATCTCATGGATTATGGCAGTTAGCGGATAAACTCATTTATCTAGACGTTGTTTGTGTTCACAGGTGGAATTGTTTACGTTCAAGCTGTCATTGATTGCAGTTCCCAACAAAATCGACCTAGAATAACGGCTATAACTTATTTCTGGATTTTAGTTAGGTATGTTCTCAAAACTTACCGTATCTTATCCTGCGTCTGGTCTCTAAATTTCCCAATAAGCTACCGATCCATCTCTGTGTTTATATTCACGCGTTTTTGATCATCCGAAAGCAGGACTCGATTTAATGACTGAACGTTAATATGCAGAGTTTGGGTTTTTTTCATTCTCATTTCTATTTTTTTATTTTATAATTTTCATAATTAGCAAGATGTTGAGCAAGTATGAGAGTTTCCAGAGCGTCACGGACAGATTATGTCACTATGAACACAGAAATGCAGTAAATAACTTCTGTTGCACGTCTCAGTAGGAAGGAATGAAGAACGGTCACATATCAGACAGAATAAAGTTCCGAATTAAAAAAACAAAAATAAAATTCTCACTTCATTCTACACGCATATAAACAATATAACGACAGAAACGTCCCCATTGTAAGTCAGTGGTGTCTGGTGCAGTATAAAAATGGTGGCATGGTTTCAATAGAAATTAATGCTTTATGAAGTGGTTCTGGTGTCTATAGCCTGTCCCTGCAGGTTTATGCTGTAAATGCTGCATTTTCAGAGAAATAGTGTTTAGATTGCTGGCTAGTAACACTTTTAGTAGCGTTTACTCAGACGGTCACTAGAGGTGATTCCTGGGTCAGTGCTAAAGTGTGCAGCACAGACATTCAGCATCTCCACGCTCTGCATGGAGGCACTGAATGCTCCTCCGAGAGATGCATTGATTTAATGAATGAGGAGATGCTGGATGGCTCAGCTTGACTTTGTGCCGCTAACGTGCATTAGCCTCCCAATGGAAAAAGCATTGGGAAAGCATTGGATTGGCTGAGATAATCAAGATTGATGATCTTTGCCAAGGAGGTGGAACCAGCCGCGGTGAGACCAGTGCCACGTGGGAAAAAAGTAAGTAAACACTATAATGTCAGAATACATGTTTGTATTCCTGAGACTATAGTGTTCCTTTAAAGACACATTACTGTGAGTATTATTGCTGTGGAGCTCTGCTATACCCTCAGACACAATAACAATAAGGAGCTCCTAGAAAAGAGGATCATTAGAAAAGAGGGACAGGGGAATTTGGCCCGAGAATAGGGACTGTCACTCGTAAATAGGGACACTTGGAAGGAATGTGTAAGTGTAATTCCCTGTTTTGTTTTTTTTCTTTGCAGTAGTGTTATCCATTACTATCCAGTGTCTGTCTACTAAACACAGTGAAATGCTGCGGAGTGTTATTTTCATTGTGGACTTTGAGGTCTGTATTACATGTTTCTCTAAAACCTCTCAATGCATGACTCACTGAGAAGTCATGCTCCGTTTAACCCCATAAACATATAGATACATATTTGAGAAGCAATAACCACTTCAATATGGCCTGATCCACCCGTTAATGATGTTACCCAGTGACTGAACTAGAAGACAATACAAAATATAGGGTCCGGTGGCTCTGTAAGCCACACATTCTAGTAGAGTACACTAAACAAGTCTACGGGGTCTATACCCAGGTAATGCAATGTAAAGGCTCTTTTCTAAGGCACACTTTCATTTGTTTTTACCACACCATTCTTTATATTTTTTTGTTACCACACCATTTTTTTTTTAATTATTATTATTTTTTGGCGCTTGCCTTCCTGACCCCATAGTCCACCCTCCACTTAAAGATATATAAGTATAATAATCTTCTGAATTCATGATCTCTCACCAGTGAAACTCACAGAGCTGAATTGTGTCATAACAATGTTTGTTTTTTAACAAAGGCTTTTCTGTTGGCCAACGTAAATCTAAAACTCAACACATAAAACAATCACAAAGAAAGATAACACCCAGCAACACAAACATTTATTACAAAAGCAAAGAGGAGAATATGTACAATGCAAAGCCAAACATATAATATAAATATACAATTAATACAAAATACACAAAATATTTACACAAGTTATCAAGAGTGCAAAACAGATCATTTATAGCATTGGGAACAAACACATTTGTGTCAATGATCTAATTTCAGAAGAAATCTATAACAAAGGATGGCAGACGAACACACAGATACACACCATAGATTCTGATCAGAAAAAGCAAATATTACTTGAATCTAGTTTGCTTTGGGTCACACTACTATTTCATTAATATTCTCAGCTCTTGGCCCAGCCAGCGCATGTCAATTCCTTTAACCCAAGCCACGCAATGTGCGAGGGCACATGCATGGCACTATGAAGGGTTGCCTAGGCACACATACCCTCTTCTCCAACAAAAGTCCAGGAAGCATTGAGTCCTGATAATATCACCCTCAAGACGGAGGTGCTACAGGAGGGGTGTTTTTAACGTATCCTTGCCGCACTGTTCTGATAAGTGCTTGAACAGCGGGAATAAAGAAATGTTACTAACAGGGAAGTGATAGATCTGCTTTAACCCCTTAAGGACCAAACTTCTGGAATAAAAGGGAATCATGACATGTCACACATGTCATGTGTCCTTAAGGGGTTAAATTTGGTCCCATTTCTCTGAGAGTCCTGCTAAACTCTTAGATCTTTGACAAAACTGCAATTTTTATATCCGTAAACATTGCTTTGTAACATTACGTGTTACCAGTCTAACTCTAAGCTTTATGTATCATATTTACAAGGGAATGGTAAGAGGTCTGCCCTGTCAGACTAACAATTACAATTACTTATAGCAACATCATATTCTGTAGCGCTGTACAACAGGAAACAAGACAAACGTTTAATTCTACCAAAACATGTTTTGACATACAGGAAGAGTAGGTTAAGACGGCCCAGCCCAAACTAGCAGGTGAGGGTCAAATACACCAAAGGACGTGAGAGAATCAAGTAATCTGAATGTAGCTTAGAATGGAAGGGAGCACAGTAGTGGATTTTGATACCACTGTACAGCGCTACAGAAAATGTTGGTGCTCTATAAAAGTAAAAATGAAGATGGATGGCAGGGGTGGATTTCAAACATTGCAGAAGAGGATTTGAAAAAAGAACCAGCTGCCTACATCACACATACTAATTTCAACAAGGGAATTAACTGTACATATAAATCACATTAAAGAAAATTTACATTAAACGGACACAATGACTAATACACTTGGCGTTCTCTAATAGAAAACATGTTCTAAGCAGCCGTCTGGCCCTCAGCTGTGTGTGAGTTCGCGTAGCCGGTGTTTCTGGATTCCATTTCTATGTTATGACTTTAACTTGTTCTAAATCTATTGATGGAGAAACTCTATACCGCACGGAAATATTTAGTTGAAAGGATTAGCGTACGTTAAACACAAAGCATTTATGGGCCGGCGAAAGAACACTGTGAGGCAGAACCTCCATGTTTCATACGTCATATAAGTATAAGCTGGGATGGAGAACAAAACACTGAGAAAGTAAAACGGAATTATGCCAACCACAGGTTATTAATCTTTAAACTAATGTCCAAACAAGTAGGAGATAAATGGGCACATGGCATGTGTGTGCGTGTATCTAAAACACTCACTCACCCCCCAAATGGAAGTCAGCCCACCAATGACGTGTGCTTTTATGTGTGTGTCTCAGTGTTTGCCTGAGTGTGGTAAGAGTTGTGCTTTACAATATTTGTAATAGCAACCTATTTCTGGCTTGCCAGATGCTTGGAAATAAGAATTAAAAAAATTTTTAAATATCAAATTTGTTCTTAAAATCGTGGCATATAACCAATATTTATTAAGGAACAGTGTTTGAACAGAACATAATACCATCTCAAGCTTCAGAAGAAATTCAGAAACCAGTCACCCTTCACCACAATTACCCTAACCTGCTCCTTCTTGACCGTGTTAACACCAGTAATCATCAAGTGGTTTCAGCCAATTCAGCGTATCGTTGAGGTCTGACTCACAGCAACTGTTATTCATCACCTGCATCACTCAAGTTAAACTTTGAGGGGCCCTTATTGGGCATAGAAACTCGAAAAGATACAGACATATACATATATACAAAAATATCTTTTTTTTGTGTGCGTGTGATCTAGACCTTTATCTGTTATATCAACCAGTAAAAAGTAAAACTTCAGCAGTCATCATGTAGATGATTTTTGTATCAGTAGAACCAATATAGTCATTCTTTGTGTGTACTCGGTGCTGTACAATTCAGTCTTCCACAGTACAGGAAATATAAAGTCATGCATTGAGTATTTGTCTGCCATAATTTAATTTAACCAGATTGAACTATCAGTCAGAAACATTAATTCAATAATATTCACCAAGGAACCCTGGAATGTGTGTAGGAGGCTATTAGTCTGATACTTCATAAGATTTTGAGATTCACTGCCTTTGATATATAGAATGATGATATAAACAGTTCTAGCTGAAATAATAAAAGCTGGTCTTCTCTAAAAATGATGTAATTAAAATAAGCACTAATTGCATTTATCTCCAAACTAATTACAGGTTAGAAAACGAATCTACTGCCTGACAATGAGATTGCAACATAAACTCAGAATGAACAGTTTCCAATCAATTAAAGAAAACAGTAAAACTGGTCGCAGTCAAAATGTGCGCTGGTTTTAAAGGATATTCCAAGCACCATAACAACCACAGCTTATTGTTCTAGAACAAATACTTGTATTACTACAGTTAATTGTATTGGTGATGATGCAAGAAAGCTATGAGTGCAGTCAAACCGTTCTCATCAGGTCTGAATAACGTTTTATTCTGACGAAATAACGAGGAAGAGAAATTAGTAGTAGAGGTACCAAGAAGATCCCAAGTTTTTCAATCCCCCCTTGAAAATTGTTTCAACAAAAGTCGCAGAGACATTACCCATAGCTTCCTTACACCATCACCACTACGGTAAGCAGTAGTGATTAATGTGCGTGGAGCGTCAATGTAACCTTGTACCATATATGGGATGAAAGATTACAGTTAGCACAAATTTTTTCGAAGTTGTTTTAAAAAAATTGGTATAGATTTATTTAGAATAATTTTTAATCATTGCACTATGTAATGTAAATCTACATATTCAAGTAAGTCAGTAAGTGGCTGTTTGCAACTGGAAGTTGTGTACTAAAAATGACATGAAATTCTAATAATGTATCCTTTTCCCTAATTCCCCCTTGATCCCCTTATAGTCCAGCTCTGTTGGGGAGGACTGAGGTATGTTACTTAGGGTTAGTGCTCAGTGAATCCCCAGCAGGGTAGACTGTCGTCCTCGGGCAGTACAGGCTGGGATGACATGATGCCCCTTTGTGGGCGGGAACATTATCGGTGATTCTGATTGCGTCATGGTGAAGCCCACCTGCCACCCACTTGATATTAAAGTTGGAAGGTCTGGTTTTCAACCTAATATTTATCTGAAAAGGATCTCCAATTAGTTTGGAGATAAAGACAATTAGTGATTGATTAATTCTTGACAAAACCAGTTTAAACTATTTCAACTTAAACTAAATAATGTAATCATAATTTATGGTATAAAAGTAGAGAGAGAAAAAACCCACTATTTACTCTTCATTTTTTAAAGATAGAACATTGGCTAATGGCATTCATCTACAACCAACAGCTGGGGACTGTCCTGTTCTTATCTCCTGTTATACTGCAAAACCTGCTCATTCTCAAAATGACTTTTTTGCAAACACACATTCAGGTGATTGATAGACCAAAATATTCTGTGCTTATTGGATGTTTAGATATAAATAATTAATTTACTTAAACATGCCATACTGTATAACATGGAACTCTTTAGACTCCCATTACAATTCACAAAATATTATGGACAAAATGTTTTTCATGTTAAGGATTATCCACAATGTATATATCTCGTCTAAGGTTATAGTACATTCCAATAGGTAATGTCACACAGATCAACAAAACGCACACTAACTTACTGATCTGCAAAAAAAGAAACTTGAAGTATTGAAGTATTGAAATAAAGAAACACATCTATCCTTCTTTTTATCACCCAAGAACACGTCCCGTAGAAATGAGCTTGTTGCGAAGGTACCTTCTTCTCACCGTGTAGTAGAAAATGATCTACTCGAGGTAGACCAGACATTTTGTACAGTCACATGACCAGAGGAGGCCAGCACGGAGCGGTAAAACTATACAAAAATGATTATATACCTGCGTGAAATAAAAAAAAACATTTAAATAATGTTTTAAGTCAAAAGTTTTCTGTAGATGCTGTTTTTGACACTTGTTGATCCATTGTCGTTCTTCATCGCAGTGCTCATTAGTTGACCTGTACTACTGGTGCCAGGTTCAGGAAGCTTCTTACAGCACAGAAAACTGCACACGTATCGCTGACATTGAGAAGACGCATAGTAATAAATGAGTGGATCGAGACAACAGCTAATACTGCTAACACAGACACACAGGATGTAGGCAAAATACAGAGACTCGTCTGCGGAAAGCAAGTAATGCGTTAGGAAGATGACATTGGTTGGCCCAAAACAAATTAGAAAGACCAGGAACACAACAACAGCCAAAAACAAAGCTCGTGTTTTCTTGCATGAGTTTTCAATGTTTGACAAGCTAAGCCTCCTAATGATCCCGATATAGGAGACAGTGGTGACGATTAAAGGCAAGAAAAAGAAAACCAAACAAAATGCAGTAAAATAATAAACATAAAATTTCTGCTGGTCTTTCAAATCGAGTACATCATGGCAGGTGGTGATGTCTAGTCGGGCTATATATTTTGTTTGCTCGGTCACTAGGAGAGGTACAGTGCTTGCTATGGAAATCACCCATATTAAAAAACAGACCAGCGAAGATCGGCCCAAAGTGCGCCACGAAAGGGAATGCATTGGAAAGACTACCGCCAAAAACCTGTCCACGCTGATACACGTCACGAGTAGGACGGAGCAGTACATGTTACAGTAAAAGGCAGCGGTGACAATACGGCACATTCCAGCTCCAAACATCCAGTTGTTTCCAGAGTAATAATACACTGTTTTGAACGGTAACACACTTGCAAACAATACATCAGCTGCTGCCAGGTTCAGCATGTAGACCACTGCCGGCTTTCTGATCTTCATCTTGACAAGGAAAATGATGATTGCCATTATATTCAGTGGCAGTGCCATAAGGAATACCAATGTGTATACGGATGGAACAAAAATAGTCATCCACCCGCTGGACAGATAATGCTCTGCTTCCTTTGTTACATTTTTCTGGTCTATATTTTTAGGACTGAGACTTCGAGAAATGGCAACAGTTCCCGATCCTTCTCCAGATCCAAATAATTCATCAAGTGGGATTTCGTCAAAGTCGCTGTCAACATCAAAACTGTGGAAGCCTTTCATGGTTAAATTGTTTGAATGAGCACCTGGAAAAAAATACAGAAAGATAAATAAGTTAAAACATACTGGAGAAAGAATGACTAAATAACAGTGAATAACAATAAAATCACTTTTAATTTTACTGGTCATGTGGCAAACATATTTTTATTGGACATGTGGCTAGCACATTTTTCATTTTCTTGGTCATGTGGCTAGCACATTACATTGATAATATTTTAAAGGGATTTGTGAATAACAGGTCCACAGATTCACCATCACATCACAGCAACATTGCAAAGCCTTATTTATCCCATCTACATCATTCAATGGGTACAACGCTCATCACCCTCTGCCACTGGCAAATCAGAGAAGATGTAAATTGAAGTAAAAAAAAATAAAAAAAATAAAATAAAAAACTAAATGACTGCCAATTATCCACCATCGCTGCCTGACTTGTTCCTTTCACATCAATCCAGGGGCTTTTATTAATTAAAGTGGAACTGTTACTTGCAGAATTTAATATTTACATATTTAACATACTTAACAAATGTGTTTTTGGTGTTCGGTACATTCATTTAATGTATTATTCCGCACCTCTTTATCCTGCAGTTCAGGGCCTCCGTCTGAGCTCTCTGTCAGTCATTATTACACACTCTGTACTTTGCACCTGACAGACAGCATATAGAAAGCATACAAAGAAGAGGGAAAATGAAACTAATGTTTCTATTTCTTAACTCTTCATTCGCAATTTTTGTTTTTGCTTTTCCTGTACCGCATAGGTTCTTAACCTGTAGTACTCATAGTACAAGCAGGGGTTACATCGAAAGCGGGCTGGCCACTTTAGGGTCCCCCAGGAGACGTCTGCTCGGCACTGGTGCCTACTCTGCCTGAATGTGCTGTGTCCAGAGGGGAGAATGAAGGCGGACGGTGGCAAAGGAGCGCTAATGTCTGTGCTCTTCCAGCACTGTTTCCTCTCGCGCCCTGCGATGATGCCAGGAGCTGGGTGATGATGTCAATCCCACCCCGTCATTACTAAACAGTGCAAGAGGGAGCCGTGCTGGAAGAGCACAAAGATTTCACAAGACTGCACTGGACAACGATTCAGTCCAGCTCTCCCAATCGTAGGAAGGCTGGGTGGACTTCAATATAAATTATAAGAAAAAGTATTTGTGAGCGTGTGATAGAATGTGTGTCTATCAGGGAATGTGTGTGTATCAAATCATCGAGTGTGTGTGTCTGTCACTGAATGTGTGTGGGTCAGTGTATGTCAAATCAGTGAAAGTATGTGTTAAATCAGTGAATCTGTGTGTCATTTAATGTGTGTGTCAATGTGTGTCAAATCAGTAAAAATGTGTCTCTATGAGTGTTTGTATCAGTTTCCTCTGTGTGTAAATGTGTGTGTGTCAGTGTCTTCTAAGTGTAAATGTGTGTGGGTATGTCAGTGTCCTCTGTAAGTGTATGTGTGTTGGTGTCCTCAGTGTGTAACTGTGTGTGTATGTCTGTGTCTTCTGGGTGTAAATGTGTGTGGGTATGTCAGTGTCCTCTGCTTGTAAGTGTATGTGTGTTAGTGGCCTCTGTGTGTAAATGTGTGTGTTTGTCAGTTTCCTCTGGTGGAAATGTGTGTGTGTGTCAGTGCCCTCTGTGTGTAACTATTACGTGTGTTATATTCTCATTTTGTGACTTTTATACTTCAGATTACATATGTCAATATGTCATATTTATTTTAAAAATATTATTTACTACCTTTAATCAGGCTTGTTCTCCAATATCAGATTAACTTAAATATCAATGTCTACATGTTTAATTTTGAACTTATATCAAAATAAATTACTTTTTGAGGCAGGGGTACTTCTACTCCATAGATTTGTATTGATACTCGCAGGGGTACTTCTCCATAAAAGGTTTAGGAACAGTGCTGTACGGAACTAGATTACTAGAACATAACGTTATAGTGTTCTGCTCAATTACTATTTAGATTATGGGGCCCCACCTGCCACATATATCAGCTGCCCAGTCACTAGAAAGGCCCCATTACATTAAGGTTGAACCAGTGAAATAATGGGGTGGACATAGCCTCCCCCCCATACCCCAACCTAAATGGCCCTAGTTCTAGTTTCAAAAAATTGTGTTAAAAAGCTGATGGTAAACCACATGGAAAAAAACTAAAAACATTTAAGTCAAGTTTCATATAATGTTCATAGTTTTGTTTAATAGTGTTTGTGTGGGAGTTTTACTTGGGGTCTGCTCTGCTGTAAGACGTGATCCCCAAATCATTATATTAAGTGAGGTATGGTGAAGGCAGCCCAGCAATAGATAGTTAATAACACGTTCCTCAATGTTTGCTTCTCCTTAGACAAGTGGTTTCATGAGAACGGAAACATAAGGGGACCATCTTCAAAGTGACTTCAAAGGAACGAAGTGCCTATCTTTTCCTGCCAAACTATTCATTTCCCACACGCGGGCATAATCAGCTCCGTCCAGTCATCTAGCATGAGAAAAAGATCTAAAACTATTTTCCTTAAACTGGCGTCAAACTTCAAAACTATTTTCGATTTAAAAGGAAAATTGCATCTGTATGTTCCTCTATATGGGTTTAACACATTCATCCCACTGGTAGCTTGAACTGAACACGTTTTACTCAGTTTGTAATATTTCAATAATATGTTGGTCACATTCTGTCTTCCTTTGCAGCCAACACTTCCTTTGTGTAATGCAATATCTGTCCTATATTTGTCTATTAAAACAGAACTGTTGCGGTCACCTCCCAGAAAGTGACTTCTCATCATTCACTTAGTGCAGTAAACACTGTCAAAGTACTAACTGGAGGCATAGTGCAAAAGAGGTAAACACGTCCTGGCCAACATGTTTCCCCCAATGATGTTTTAAAGGGTTCTGATAAGAAATACAGCATGAGCAGAGTGGATGCACTGGATCATTTTTTCCAGAGTCCCGTACATGCGTGTGTACTCCTTAAAGAGTTACAGTAAGCACTATGACAAATCGCTGTGCCGCGCCATGCACATGCAGCCCTACAAGCTGTTTTTAATTAACAGGGCATGAGAACGTCCAGCATCAGTGAAATCCTGATTGGAAAGCATTGAAGAAATGCTTTGCTATTGGGAAGGACCTAATGTGCACGCGGGGCATGAAAACGTCCAGCATCAGTTAGGAAACCTGATGTTTGGTAAACTCCCGGAAGCGCTGGAGGCAGCCTTAGTATTGCAATGTGATGTAAATCTGCAGTGATTGCAGCACTGAGGGCAATAGGGACACCGCACCAGAACCACTTCAATTCAATGAGCTGAAGTGGTCTGGGTGCCTATAATGTCTCTTTGAATTCCATAATCTGCATCACTGCAATGCCCGGAGTTAAATAGGGCACTTTCAGTGGCATTATGGCGTAGGTCTCAGAAAAAAACAAAAATCGATTCCCTTTAAATGTACGTTTTTTTTTGTATCACCGATAAGCCTAAAAATGCCCGCCAAGCTCCCCTAAATAACCACACCGATAACCAAATACAAATCAGATTCTGACACAAAATAATATTCACTATAAGTCACTAAGACACATAGAGGCAGTGATGTACCTTGTACACAGGTAACCTTTACAATATACGCCTGCTTGAAAATGTGTTTTCCTCAAATCTTGGTCTCTGGACCCATTATATTGTGACGGGTGGCCGCTGCAGCAGCATGTTTATGTAATGACTAATTCTTCCTTTACTGGCCTCCCTTAATTTCCAAAGCAGACTCCGTCTAATAGAGAACAAAATGTAGTTCTGGAGCCAATATTTCATGTTTTGTGTCTGCATGCCAGGATGCTGGATTCCAAGAGACCATTTAATATGAGGATAAATTACAGGAGCTCAAACGGAAATAGAATCTCTTTATCATATTAATAAACCATTAGCTGTGTAAGATTTAAAACCTCTCGATACAAGTTATTATTTCCAGGTAACCAAATGAATAGAACATTAAACAAATTCATTTATTAACACTTGAAACATAGAACCAGTGAGGTTAGGTCTCCAAATAAAAATTAGATGGGACCCACCTATTATTACTAGAATTACCTCTATTATTAAAATGTCATAACTGGTAATAGACTCTATTGAAAACCAAATACACATAATATAAGCAAATCCACATAAAAAAGGTGCGAACACAACCCACCGTGTGCAAGACAAAAACCTGGGGTAAGGATAATCCTATAAATGGGTATATATAGAGATCAGTATCTGGAGTATATACTGGTGGATGGAACCAGTATATGTAGACAGATCTCTCATCCATATATTTACAGTCAGGCTCCAAGTATAGTAGGAGCGTTCAACCCATGCCCTGTCTCAGCTATAAGTGACAAAGTATAAGCAAAGACCAGGTGAGTGGGTAACACAGAACAAAGCATGTGCAGGCGAGCCTCTGCAGTAAAGACAATTATAATGGGGGAGTCTAACATTGTATATCATGGGGGAGTCTAACATAGTATATTGTATAATGGGGGAGTCTAACATAGTATATTGTATAATGGGGGAGTCTAACATAGTATATCATGGGGGAGTCTAACATAGTATATTGTATAATGGGGGAGTCTAATATAGTATATCATGGGGGAGTCTAACATGGTATATTGTATAATGGGGTAGTCTAACATAGTATATTGTATAATGGGGGAGTCTAACATAGTATATCATGGGGGAGTCTAACATAGTATATCATGGGGGAGTCTAACATAGTATATTGTATCATGGGGGAGTCTAACATATTATATCATGGGGGAGTCTAACATAGTATATTGTATAATGGGGGAGTCTAACATAGTATATCATGGGGGAGTCTAACATAGTATATTGTATAATGGGGGAGTCTAACATAGTATATTGTATAATGGGGGAGTCTAATATAGTATATCATGGAGGAGTCTAACATGGTATATTGTATAATGGGGTAGTCTAACATAGTATATCATGGGGGAGTTTAACATAGTATATCATGGGGGAGTCTAACATAGTATATTGTATAATGGGAGAGTCTAACATAGTATATTGTATAATGGGGGAGTCTAACATAGAATATCATGGGGGAGTCTAACATAGTATATTGTATAATGGGGGAGTCTAACATAGTATATCATGGGGGAGTCTAACATGGTATATTGTATAATGGGGGAGTCTAACATAGTATATCATGGGAGAGTCTAACATAGTATATTGTATAATGGGGGAGTCTAACATATATCATGGGGGAGTCTAACATAGTATATTGTATAATGGGGGAGTCTAACATAGTATATTATATAATGAAGGGGAGTCTAACATAGTATATCATGGGGGAGTCTAACATGGTATATTGTATAATGGGGGAGTCTAGCATAGTATATCATTATAATTGTAATTATTATACCAATATTAAATACGGGTTATGTATGAAGGGAAAAGGTGCTCTGTGCAATTAGGCGCTTAACAATAATATATAAATAGAACAGCAGCTCAAACACGCATGCAGGTATCCCAATCCTACACAAACACAATGTGAAAGAAAAAAAGTGAACTTAGTGGATCGTACTACCACCAAAAGATCACTCAGTGGAGCGCTAAATATCAAATTCTTACCCCTATTGGAATAACGTATATATCACTTTAAGGGGCAGACAGCATAATAAAATCTACAACAAGAAAATACACATCATGGTGCAGTATGCTTGTAAGGTGTGAATGGAGAGGAAGAAGATGTATGTCCAACTCACATGGTAAAGAGCCTGGAGATTGGCTCAAATCACAACAGCTGAGGTATGTTTGGTAATACCAGACCTTCTCCAGATATACAGCTCACAACATATGTGGATAAAAAAGGACAAAAATCCTAGTACAAGTATGTTTAAAATAAACAAGTGGTCACATATAACAGTGCATGAATGTGCTCACCTGGAATAGAGCCAATTGTACTAGGCTCTATGTATAAGCGTGTGGTGCCTTTAAGGGAGGCACTACCCTTCTTTAGAAAATGCAGGAAGCAGTTGAAGATCCACTACCAGATGTATAAGGTAAAAGTAACAATTTATTTAAAAAAAAAAAACAATTAAGCAAAGTAAAACTGTATATACAGATACCAAAAAGTAAAAGTCTCTGGGGTGGTCTTCCTTGGAGTTACTTTTACCTTATACATCTGGTAGTGGATCTTCAACTGCTTCCTGCATTTTCTAAAGAAGGGTAGTGCCTCCCTTAAAGGCACCACACGCTTATACATAGAGCCTAGTACAATTGGCTCTATTCCAGGTGAGCACATTCATGCACTGTTATATGTGACCACTTGTTTATTTTAAACATACTTGCACTAAGATTTTTGTCCTTTTTTATCCACATATGTTGTGAGCTGTATATCTGGAGAAGGTCTGGTATTACCAAACATACCTCAGCTGTTGTGATTTGGCCAATCTCCAGGCTCTTTACCATGTGAGTTGGACATACATCTTCTTCCACTCCATTCATACCTTACAAGCATACTGCACCATGATGTGTATTTTCTTGTTGTAGATTTTATTATGCTGTCTGCCCCTTAAAGTGATATATACGTTATTCCAATAGGGGTAAGAATTTGATATTTAGCGCTCCACTGAGTGATCTTTTGGTGGTAGTATGTATGAAGGGACTATTTTCATACATACATTCTACTTATAGGTCTAATTTTTTAAACACTATGAAATACATTTTTTAATATATTCTTTTTGTATATATGGAAACAGTTTAATATCATATCCTTTTCGATCTTTGGAGAAAAGGTTTTCAATATCATTCATACCTTTGCTTATTAAAATTGAGTTTAGATTTGACTGTTAGCTGTTTTTTTAGTCACTGATGTAAGCACAGATTGCACTGATTTTGAGCCGTGCTGATATTGCTGACACAGTTGTGTAAATGTGCAGATTGCCAATAAAGTTATGTTGCGTTCCACGGTGGTTATACACGCATGCTCGGTACCGACGTCCGAACATCATGACGTTATGTTCGCAGTGGTCCGCACATGCGCGATCATCAATTGCGACGCCAAGATCGGCAAGTTTAAAAGCAGGAATATGGGGACAGAAACACAAGCTCCTGAGGAAGTCGGACACCCGACGAAACGCGTTGAGCACAGTGACAGGTGACCCTACATTATTGGTATCAGCAGTCTGATGTTATATGCATTTGGCACTTTGAATGTTTTTGCACTTTAACTCTGTATTGGGGAACTATTTGTTAGTGACTCCTACTGTACCATTTCTATTCCCATTTGGGTGATCTACAGCTATTATCCCAAGTGGATATTGTGAAGGGATAGTGTATGCTAGTGGCTTTTTATAGCCATTTATCTTTACTCCCCTTTACTTATGGTTCTTTTGCAGTGTGCACTTTATATTGTATTTTTTTCAGCTGCTGACCAAAGGGTCCTGAGCCAATTGAGGCTATTTTTATTGGATGGTAATTTATGTGTATATATTGTATTATTATTTTTTGATGCTTGAATAAATTGTAAAACTTTACTATACTGATCTCTTACTCCGGCTATAATTGGTCTCCTTTTTAGAGACAAGCCGGTAAAGACAAGTGATTGTGGCGCCCTATGATCTGTTACCATAGGTGACAAAGTGTCTTATAATAATTAAACGCTGAGCATGCTGTGTCCAAGTGACAATAACGTGGTCTATCCAAATGACTAATCTTGGCTGCATGCAGTAACGTGGTCTAAAAAGACCTCGTTAGCAGAGAAGGATAGCTGATATGAATAGTCCTAGTGGTAAGGATAGTAGCAATGTCTTAGAGGATACAATGTAACGAGTATAAGAGAAACTTAGATAAAAAGAAAGATGCCGATGCACTACTGTGTTTTTTAACTTTTTCCCTGGGTAGATTTTCTCTGTTTGCTATGGTTCTTTAGTGTCTTAACGCTAAGTTTAATTCAGTACTTTGGGGCTTATTAGGTAGGCTGCTTATTATGGGTAGCTGGATACTGGATATAGGCTGCATTGCAGCAGCAGGGGTAGCTGGATAGTGACTATAGACTGCCTTGAAGCAGCAGGGGTAGCTGGATAGTGAATATAGACTGCCTTGAAGCAGCAGGGGTAGCTGGATAGTGACTATAGACTGCCTTGAAGCAGCAGGGGTAGCTGGATAGTGACTATAGACTGCCTTGCAGCAGCAGGGGTAGCTGGATAGTGGATATAGACTGCCTTGAAGCAGCAGGGGTAGCTGGATAGTGGATATAGACTGCCTTGAAGCAGCAGGGGTAGCTGGATAGTGGATATAGGCTGCCTTGAAGCAGCAGGGGTAGCTGGATAGTGGATATAGGCTGCCTTGAAGCAGCAGGGGTAGCTGGATAGTGAATATAGACTGCCTTGAAGCAGCAGGGGTAGCTGGATAGTGAATATAGACTGCCTCGAAGCAGCAGGGGTAGCTGGATAGTGGATATAGGCTGCCTTGAAGCAGCAGTGGTAGCTGGATAGTGAATATAGACTGCCTTGAAGCAGCAGGGGTAGCTGGATAGTGAATATAGACTGCCTCGAAGCAGCAGGGGTAGCTGGATAGTGGATATAGGCTGCCTTGAAGCAGCAGTGGTAGCTGGATAGTGAATATAGACTGCCTTGAAGCAGCAGGGGTAGCTGGATAGTGAATATAGACTGCCTCGAAGCAGCAGGGGTAGCTGGATAGTGGATATAGGCTGCCTTGAAGCAGCAGTGGTAGCTGGATAGTGAATATAGACTGCCTTGAAGCAGCAGGGGTAGCTGGATAGTGAATATAGACTGCCTCGAAGCAGCAGGGGTAGCTGGATAGTGGATATAGGCTGCCTTGAAGCAGCAGTGGTAGCTGGATAGTGAATATAGGCTGCCTTGAAGCAGCAGGGGTAGCTGGATAGTGGATATAGGCTGCCTTGAACCCTGATTTGGTTCTTGTGGAAGCCCAGGTTCTGCAGAACACAAATTAAGAAACGCTGGAGTACGATATTAAGCAATGTCTGTATGTGTCTGTACTCTTTTTGTGGCTTTTGTGAATACTGTCATTCATTCAGGTTTATTTACTAAAAGTGAGAATTCAAAGTGAATTTTAGAATTAAGGTCAAAATAGACGAGCTGGGAAAATCTCTAAGACAGCTATGTTTCAGCTATTTTGGACTAAAATGTAAAATGCACTTTGAATTCAGTAGAATTATCACTTTTGTAAATAACCCTGATAATATGTAGCACAAAACAGACTGTCGTTGAATATATCATGACAAATACTTGAGGATATAAAAAGACTATACTTAATGGCTCAAGGACATTTCGCAAGAGTAAACATTTATGGCAAACTGTCTTCAGATATATGTCTGTCTCTGATAATACACAGTGATAACATAAAATACATAATATCTAATAAAGGGGACTTAAAAAAACAGACCCTTCTTGCTCTGGCAATCAAATGGTATTTGGAGATCCATATTTAACAGATTAAAATGCAGACCTCCCAACAGTTCCAGATACCCCTGCTAGCTCAGGTCCATTCCCTTGTGTCTTGTTTATGGGGCCACCAGAGGACAGTCCACAGTAAATGCAGCAAAACCGCATCAGTAGACATGCTTGTGCTGCGCAAAATGTACTTAGGGCATTCACTGAGTTTTGGTTGCCTGATCGACAGCTCAGGAGGCTAGCTCTCGGCTGCGATTATATTCCAAATCTTTGCAGTTCTACATTACTGTCAGATGTAAGAGTGAGCGAGGTACTCTGTGCTTCATCAACTATTCAATCATGCAATTTAGTAAGGTGCTTGGAGTGAACTTATTTTATATAGGATGCACTCCTCCCAACAATTCATGGACAAAGACGGACACTAATTTTAGAAGGGGTGAGTGGGGGTGTGACCAGGGGTGTGTCTGTTCTGAGAAATGTAATATCACTTACTAATAACAATTTATACAGATGAAATGCAATTTAGAACAAGAGCAATTAATCTTATTTACACAGACTGATTTCTAAACACATTTATTGTAATTTGTAGGGATTCTATACTAAAGGGACACTATTATCACCAAAACAACTTCAGCTTAATAAACCAATTTTGGTGTATAGATCAGGACTCTGCAGTCTCAATGCTCAATTATCTGCCATTTAGGATTTAAATCACTTTGTTTATTAACCCTTGTCACACTTCTATGCAAGTGACTTGCACAGCCTTCCTAAACACTTCCTGTAAAGAGTCATCTAATGTTTATCCTTCCTTTATTGCAAGTTCTATTTAATTTAGATGTTATTATCCCCTGCTATATTAATAGCTTACTAGACCCTGTAAGAGTCTCCTGACTGTGATTAAAGTTATTTTTACAAAACAAGAGATAAAATTGTTTAAGGTAAATTACATCTGATTGAAAGTGAAACCATTTTTTTTTTCATGCAGGCTGTGTCAATCAAAGCCAGGGGAGGTGTGACAAGGGCTGCATAAACAGAAACAAAGTGGTTTAACTCCTAAATGGCAGTGAATTGAGCAGTAAAACCTGAGAGGCATGATCTATACACTAAAACTGCTTTATTAAGCTAAAGTTGTTTCGGTGACTATAGTGTTCCTTTAAGAATACAAATCCGCGTTCCTAAAACTACAGTGCCCTCTGGACTCCCTCAGTCATGTCCCCTTTCCCAGCTGGGAGCACTTTAGGCCAATGCTTTCCTTCTGGGATTTCACTGACGCTGGATGTACTATTGCAAAACGTGAAGACGTCCAGTGTCAGTTAGGGTACCTGGAGTCTGTTGGGATTCAGGAAGTGCGTATAGTGGCTGTCTGATTGACAGGCACAAGAGGCAGTCTTAGGCCTGCAAGGTAAGCATTGGAGCTTCTGTAAAACTGCAATGATTTACACTGCAGGACTAAGGGGAACAGAGACACTACACCCAAACCACTTCAATGTACTGAAGTGGTCTGAATGTCGATAGTGTTCTTTTAAAGGCACATTACTGGGGGTACTATTGTTGTGGAGCTCTTTTATACACTTAGACACACTAACACTATGGGCTCCTAGAAAAGAGGGACACCAGGATAGAAAATAGGATTTGGGCCAAAAATAGAGACTAAATATGACACTTGGGAGGTATGAGGAAGCAGGTCTGGCAGTATTACCCTGTATAACGCAGATCATATTTCTATTTTAATCTTTTTATCTGTGTATTATTCTGGAAAGCTGTTGTCTACACAGTATATTGCACAGCTTTCAGCAGTAAACCCACGTGATGTGTTCTTCCTATGTATCATTTGCAAAGGTAAAGCACTAAAACAAGAATTTAAGAATATAACCCCCTTATTCCTATATTTTATTTATTTCACTGGTGTTGCTATTTTTGGGTGTAAAATTGTGTGTGTTTACCAGATCACCTCCCGTGGATATAAATGAATAAAAACACTTCACCAATCATTTTTGTTTTAAATAAATAAATGAAAAATCTTTTTTTTTTGTTTTTAAATATCTCCTGCGAAGCAATAAACCTTGCACTTTAACAGATAAATAGATGCTTTAAAATAAAGTTCACACAGCTTGACGTCTCATGCTGGAAATCCGATTCTACCTTGAGTGCACAGAAAGCATGGTAAACACAGGACACACAGAGGGTCTGCAACTCTAACCGGGGCTGGGATATTTGAGGTTCAGGCCAAAAAAGGAGTGTAGTGGTTGGCTACATGATGTCATTGCTGTGGAATGTTTTGCATTGTGTGAACCTTGACTTGCTGGGTCTGGGAAGGAGAGCTGTTTATCTTATCTAGAATGGGTGCAATATAAATGCACTTAATTAGTCAGGAAAGGCACTGGCTGCTGACTGCTTGCATGAACATCAACTGCTTTCAAACTTTCTCTGTAATATTTCCTGCTCGTGTATACATAGAAACATAGAAACATAGAATGTGACGGCAGATAAGGACCATTCGGCCCATCTAGTCTGCCCAATTTTCTAAATACTTTCATTAGTCCCTGGCCTTATCTTATAGTTAGGATAGCCTTATGCCTATCCCACGCATGCTTAAACTCCTTTACTGTGTTAACCTCTACCACTTCAGCTGGAAGGCTATTCCATGCATCCACTACCCTCTCAGTAAAGTAATACTTCCTGATATTATTTTTAAACCTTTGTCCCTCTAATTTAAGACTATGTCCAATATATATACAATATATACAATGAAACATGTTTAAATCAAACTGGTCCCTACAGAGACATCACCTTTAAGGCGTCTCTATGAATTAAATATTTCTATTGAGTATCAGAACGACAGAATCCTATAGACTCTAAGCTCGTTTGAGCCGGGTCCTCTTCAACCTATTGTTTCTGTAAGTTTTCTTGTAATTGTCCTATTTAGAGTTACATCCCCCTTTCATAAGATTTTAAAGCGCTACGGAATCTGTTGGCGCTAAATAAATGGCAATAATAATAATAATCATTTCAATGTCATTAAAATTCCAACACAATCAAAAGATACCATAGGACAAAATGGTGACACCTACATTTGTTTTGAAATCCCAAACTGACAAACTTGACAGGGGACTGAGTTTGTGCCGCAGGTTTTGTCAGTTTCTAGAGTTGTAGCTAGGAAGGCCTATGTGAATAGGGTATCTTATTCCTGATGGCAAGAGTTGATCCATAGAGGATCCCTCGGTCCCTTGCATAGACCTCAGTGTTGCACTGTTGCGCATGCGCGAGAGTCCAGCAATGACACAGCTCCTGGCGAATTAAACGCCAGGAGCTGTAGACAGGAGATCTCACCAAGAGGGAGATCACGTTCAGGGTTTTTTCCAAAATATGCAAAAAAAAACTAATGTGACGAGTCTTTTTAGTTCTATGGATACATTATGCCTCAGGCTTCAGCTTAAATTAAATATTAAATATCTAAAAGGGTTATGCAGCATTGAGTTTGATGCGCATTCTACGATCAATAAAAGTAAAATATTAGGGGACAGTTCCATTTAATTTCGCCTAAAGAAACTCTATTAAAGAATTCACATTGAGTTTCAGCAAGGTGTGCAGCAGAGACAAGTCCAGACAATATTAGCTCCACTGCACTCCTGGGTAATCTGCAAGGCCATCTTCCCAAGACACCATGTTAAGGATTCTATATCAATGATGCCTGGCACAGAATTTACATTAAAAGCCAAGCTGTGCCAGGGCTAATTGTCAGATCCTTGTCAGGAAATACGTGCATCTTCTCAAATAAGCACTATTGGATCGTTATCAGAATAAGCCTTCAGAATGATTGCCTTCTTTAACCTCTTTATTTATTTTTGCGAAAATATGAGAGGGTAGAGAAGAATGAACACACCAAAATATCTTTCGTAACCATGAAAATAATAGAAAGGTGTTTTACTCTACTCTTTATCTGCTTCGTATATAAAATACCTTCATTTTTCAAAGCCATTTTCAACGAATGTCTGATGTTCAACACTAGGACTATAACCAGGATAACCCACTAATACAGGACAGGGTTCCAAATGTGGGACTGCTGGGGGGCCCCCAATGTTGTGTGAATTTTCTGTGTGCACCCTGAATTTGTGTGATCTAAACTATGGGAGGCATTATATTATTTTATAACAAATATTGATATTTTTTTTTATCAATAAATGTGCATGCAGTAAAACGTGTTATCAGCGATTTGTGAAACACTGATGTCAAGGTCCATATAGATCATAAAATATGGAGAGACACATCTGATATTACGCAATGGGAACAGAAAAATAAATACATTTAAGATGAATGCAGCTAAATGGAAAATGGGGGGAAGTATACAATACATTGTAAGAGCATAATATGCCATACACAGGACAACATTCTAAAAACAAAATCCAAAGAACATACAGAAATGCGTCAAACCCTTATTTCATTTGGAGATTTACTCCTTATCCTATATTGATATATATTATTCCCTAAACTAGCGTGCCAGAGAATGGTGGAATTACAAAAGTTATGTCAAAACAGCTATTTTTATTTATTTTTTTTTCTATTGTTTGCGCATACAAATGCATTCCCTGTCATTTCTCCAAATTTAACAGAAAACAGAATAAACCGCAGACAGTAATTGAAAGTATTTATTTTATCAGTGATACTTATTCATGTCACATTTGTTTTTATAATGTAAATATTTTCTCAGTGAGAACATACTGGTATATACTGTATATAAATAATAAATATAATAATAATATTATTCCTAATCTAAGCAATAAAATATTCTCATTAAACTTTAAGGATATGGTTTTAGCACTCTGCCTAGAGATATTTTATCAGCTGAATTACTGAAAGATCTTTGTTTAACCAGATTTGGGCTGATTAACCCCTTCCTGACCAATAGCACACTGTATTTTATTGATATAAACAGATTTTGAAGGTTCTGGTCCTGATGGGATTAGCCAATACTTGAGCTGTCTGTGGTTTAACCCTTCGAGTGCCAACAGGGATACCCAACGTTTTGCACTTAAAATAAAAAGGTTAACGACCCTAACAATCACCTGAGCACTAAATTGTGGGGCCAATACATTGCAGTGTGTAATATTTAGGGGCTTAGAGTTTAAAGGGGGAGACTGCAGGCAATCTTTGAAGAGTCAGAGCACTTAACAAGCCCATCTGGCACTGAAAGTGTTATTTAACCCCCTGTGGGCTGTGAGGGACATTGTGAGTCTGTCTCAGACATTCACACTTTGCCAGATGGTGGGTAAAAAGGCTGATTTTCCGAGAAATGTCAAACAAAAGCCAACGAAAGCCAGGAATGAACTCCCAGGGATCTTATTCACAGTGACAATGGGACAGAACATGTTACACCAAAATAACAGATGTAGAACACGATCTAATAAACTTGTTATAGTTTTACAATGTGAGTATATGGTCAGTGCTCTATCATTCACACCCTGTAAACCCCCAATGATATAACTTACAATAACATATCAGAATGATCGAAACCAACAGCATTCCCCCAAAACATGTTTCTGTTACTTTCAATACAGAATAAAGTGTGTATACAGTTCTATACTCTCTTATTAGAATATACATTGTATCAATGGCCAGAGCTACTCACCCTGTAACTCACACAGAGCTCCATGTAATGAACTCAGCACAGCCAGCAAGGAGAACATTGTCAGCTGCCTAGAGTCCATCTCCAAACGCTGTACCTTCCCTCCCCCAGACAGAAGGCTCTCTCTGCCCAGAGTATACTCTCTCCAACCAAGTGCCCAGTACAGCAGTGCGAAGTACAAGCTGAGCCCAGTGCCCAGTATAGCAATGTCAAGTATAGTAGAGGGGTGAGCCCAGTGCCCAGAGTTACTATTGCCAAGTACAAGCTGAGCCCAGTGCCCTGTATAGCAATGCCAAGTATAGTAGAGAGATGAGCCCAGTGCCCAGTACAGCAATGCAAGCAGAAGGCAGGCAGTCTGTGAAGTCCTGAGTCCACAAGGCTTGCTGGAGAAGGAGGGGGAGGTATAGGAAGCTGCAACCTGCCCCTTTTGGCTGATTGTCAAGTGAGTTCTGTGAAGTGGAGAGCACAGTCTGGGAGCTCACGCTTTGTTACCAGTGGCTCCAGAGGAGGATGGGATGAATGAATTCAGTGGGGGGTTATCTCCCATCACCATCCTCCCCTAATAACACAGCCAGACCCTCCCCCAGACAAAGCCTCATGGACCACCAGTTCTGGCCAGTCCCTGACAGCAATATCTGAGTTACCATTGGATGTCCTGTTACCAGACACACAGGGCCAGGTACCAAATCCAGCAATGTCTGTCTGAGAGTTACCATTGGATGTCCTGTTACCAGACACACAGGGCCAGGTACCAAATCCAGCAATGTCTGTCTGGGAGTTACCATTGGATGTCCTGTTACCAGATACACAGGGCCAGGTACCAAATCCAGCAATGTCTGTCTGAGAGTTACCATTGGATGTCCTGTTACCAGATACACAGGACCAGGTACCAAATACAGCGATGTCTGTCTGAGAGTTACCATTGGATGTCCTGTTACCAGATACACAGGGCCAGGTACCAAATCCAGCGATGTCTGTCTGAGAGTTACCATTGGATGTCCTGTTACCAGATACACAGGGCCAGGTACCAAATACAGCAATGTCTGTCTGAGAGTTACCATTGGATGTCCTGTTACCAGATACACAGGGCCAGGTACCAAATACAGCGATGTCTGTCTGAGAGTTACCATTGGATGTCCTGTTACCAGATACACAGGGCCAGGTACCAAATCCAGCAATGTCTGTCTGGGAGTTACCATTGGATGTCCTGTTACCAGATACACAGGGCCAGGTACCAAATACAGCAATGTCTGTCTGAGAGTTACCATTGGATGTCCTGTTACCAGATACACAGGGCCAGGTACCAAATACAGCAATGTCTGTCTGGGAGTTACCATTGGATGTCCTGTTACCAGACACACAGGGCCAGGTACCAAATCCAGCAATGTCTGTCTGGGAGTTACCATTGGATGTCCTGTTACCAGATACACAGGACCAGGTACCAAATACAGCAATGTCTGTCTGGGAGTTACCATTGGATGTCCTGTTACCAGATACACAGGGCCAGGTACCAAATACAGCAATGTCTGTCTGGGAGTTACCATTGGATGTCCTGTTACCAGATACACAGGGCCAGGTACCAAATACAGCAATGTCTGTCTGAGAGTTACCATTGGATGTCCTGTTACCAGACACACAGGACCAGGTACCAAATACAGCAATGTCTGTCTGGGAGTTACCATTGGATGTCCTGTTACCAGATACACAGGGCCAGGTACCAAATCCAGCAATGTCTGTCTGGGATATTACCATTGGATGTCCTGTTACCAGATACACAGGGCCAGGTACCAAATCCAGCAATGTCTGTCTGGGAGTTACCATTGGATGTCCTGTTACCAGACACACAGGACCAGGTACCAAATACAGCAATGTCTGTCTGGGAGTTACCATTGGATGTCCTGTTACCAGATACACAGGGCCAGGTACCAAATCCAGCAATGTCTGTCTAGGAGTTACCATTGGATGTCCTGTTACCAGATACACAGGGCCAGGTACCAAATACAGCAATGTCTGTCTGGGAGTTACCATTGGATGTCCTGTTACCAGATACACAGGGCCAGGTACCAAATACAGCAATGTCTGTCTGGGAGTTACCATTGGATGTCCTGTTACCAGATACACACAGGGCCAGGCAATCCAGCAATGTCGTCTGGGAGTTACCATTGATGTCCTAAGCTACTTCAGACACAGGGCCAGGTACCAAATCCAGCAATGTCTGTCTGAGAGTTACCATTGGATGTCCTGTTACCAGATACACAGGGCCAGGTACCAAATCCAGCAATGTCTGTCTGAGAGTTACCATTGGATGTCCTGTTACCAGATACACAGGACCAGGTACCAAATACAGCAATGTCTGTCTGGGAGTTACCATTGGATGTCCTGTTACCAGATACACAGGGCCAGGTACCAAATCCAGCAATGTCTGTCTGGGAGTTACCATTGGATGTCCTGTTACCAGACACACAGGACCAGGTACCAAATACAGCAATGTCTGAGTTACCATTGGATGTCCTGTTACCAGATACACAGGGCCAGGTACCAAATACAGCAATGTCTGTCTGAGAGTTACCATTGGATGTCCTGTTACCAGATACACAGGGCCAGGTACCAAATACAGCAATGTCTGTCTGGGAGTTACCATTGGATGTCCTGTTACCAGATACACAGGGCCAGGTACCAAATACAGCAATGTCTGTCTGGGATATTACCATTGGATGTCCTGCTACCAGATACACAGGACCAGGTACCAAATCCAGCAATGTCTGTCTGAGAGTTACCATTGGATGTCCTGTTACCAGATACACAGGGCCAGGTACCAAATACAGCAATGTCCGTCTGGGAGTTACCATTGGATGTCCTGTTACCAGATACACAGGGCCAGGTACCAAATACAGCAATGTCTGTCTGGGAGTTACCATTGATGTCCTGTTACCAGATACAGGGCCAGGTACCAAATCCAGCAATGTCTGTCTGGGAGTTACCATTGGATGTCCTGTTACCAGATACACAGGGCTTAAAAATTAAATCCAGCAATGTCTGTCTGGGATATTACCATTGGATGTCCTGTTACCAGATACACAGGGCCAGGTACCAAATACAGCAATGTCTGTCTGGGAGTTACCATTGGATGTCCTGTTACCAGACACACAGGGCCAGGTACCAAATCCAGCAATGTCTGTCTGGGAGTTACCATTGGATGTCCTGTTACCAGACACACAGGACCAGGTACCAAATACAGCAATGTCTGAGTTACCATTGGATGTCCTGTTACCAGATACACAGGGCCAGGTACCAAATCCAGCAATGTCTGTCTAGGAGTTACCATTGGATGTCCTGTTACCAGATACACAGGGCCAGGTACCAAATACAGCAATGTCTGTCTGGGAGTTACCATTGGATGTCCTGTTACCAGACACACAGGGCCAGGTACCAAATACAGCAATGTCTGTCTGGGAGTTACCATTGGATGTCCTGTTACCAGATACACAGGGCCAGGTACCAAATACAGCAATGTCTGTCTGGGATATTACCATTGGATGTCCTGTTACCAGATACACAGGACCAGGTACCAAATCCAGCAATGTCTGTCTGAGAGTTACCATTGGATGTCCTGTTACCAGATACACAGGGCCAGGTACCAAATACAGCAATGTCCGTCTGGGAGTTACCATTGGATGTCCTGTTACCAGATACACAGGGCCAGGTACCAAATACAGCAATGTCTGTCTGAGAGTTACCATTGGATGTCCTGTTACCAGACACACAGGGCCAGGTACCAAATACAGCAATGTCCGTCTGAGAGTTACCATTGGATGTCCTGTTACCAGACACACAGGGCCAGGTACCAAATACAGCAATGTCTGTCTGGGAGTTACCATTGGATGTCCTGTTACCAGATACCACAGGGCCAGGCACCAAATACAGCAATGTCTGTCTGGGGAGTTACCATTGATGTCCTGTTACCAGACACACAGGGCCAGGTGCACCAAATCCATAATGTCTGTCTGGGAGTTGCCACCATTGATGTCCTGTTACCAGACACACAGGGCCAGGCACCAAATACAGCAATGTCTGTCTGGGAGTTACCATTGATGTCCTGTTACCAGATACACAGGGCCAGGTACCAAATACAGCAATGTCTGTCTGAGAGTTAACATTGATGTCCTGTTACCAGATACACAGGGCCAGGTACCAAATACAGCAATGTCTGTCTGGGAGTTACCATATTGATGTCCTGTTACCAGATACACAGGGCCAGGTGTACCAAATCCAGCAATGTCTGTCTGGGAGTTAATACTATTGGATGTCCTGTTACCAGAGTACACAGGGCCAGGTACCAAATCCAGCAATGTCTGTCTGGGAGTATTACCATTGATGTCCTGTTACCAGATACACAGGGCCAGGTACCAAATCCAGCAATGTCTGTCTGGGATATTACCATTGGATGTCCTGTTACCAGATACACAGGGCCATGTACCAAATCCAGCAATGTCTGTCTGGGAGTTACCATTGGATGTCCTGTTACCAGATACACAGGGCCAGGTACCAAATACAGCAATGTCTGTCTGGGAGTTACCATTGGATGTCCTGTTACCAGACACACAGGGCCAGGTACCAGATACAGCAATGTCTGTCTGGGAGTTACCATTGGATGTCCTGTTACCAGATACACAGGGCCAGGTACCAAATCCAGCAATGTCTGTCTGAGAGTTACCATTGGATGTCCTGTTACCAGATACACAGGACCAGGTACCAAATCCAGCAATGTCTGTCTGAGAGTTACCATTGGATGTCCTGTTACCAGACACACAGGCCAGGTACCAAATCCAGCAAATGCCTCGTCTGGGAGCAATACATTGGATGTCCTGTTACGACCACACAGGGCCAGGTACCAAATCCAGCAATGTCTGTCTGGGGAGTTACCATTGATGTCCTGTTACCAGACACACAGGCCAGGTACCAAACCAGCAATGTCTGTCTGGGAGTTACCATTGGATGTCCTGTTACCAGATACACAGGGCCAGGTACCAAATCCAGCAATGTCTGTCTGGGAGTTACCATTGGATGTCCTGTTACCAGATACACAGGGCCAGGTACCAAATCCAGCAATGTCTGTCTGAGAGTTACCATTGGATGTCCTGTTACCAGATACACAGGGCCAGGTACCAAATACAGCAATGTCTGTCTGGGATATTACCATTGGATGTCCTATTACCAGATACACAGGGCCAGGTACCAAATACAGCAATGTCTGTCTGGGATATTACCATTGGATGTCCTGTTACCAGATACACAGGGCCAGGTACCAAATACAGCAATGTCTGTCTGGGAGTTACCATTGGATGTCCTGTTACCAGATACACAGGGCCAGGTACCAAATACAGCAATGTCTGTCTGGGATATTACCATTGGATGTCCTGTTACCAGATACACAGGACCAGGTACCAAATCCAGCAATGTCTGTCTGAGAGTTACCATTGGATGTCCTGTTACCAGATACACAGGGCCAGGTACCAAATACAGCAATGTCTGTCTGGGAGTTACCATTGGATGTCCTGTTACCAGATACACAGGGCCAGGTACCAAATACAGCAATGTCTGTCTGGGAGTTACCATTGGATGTCCTGTTACCAGATACACAGGGCCAGGTACCAAATCAGCAATGTCTGTCTGAGAGTTACCATTGGATGTCCTGTTACCAGACACACAGGGCCAGGTACCAAATACAGCAATGTCTGTCTGAGAGTTACCATTGGATGTCCTGTTACCAGACACACAGGGCCAGGTACCAAATCCAGCAATGTCTGTCTGGGAGTTACCATTGGATGTCCTGTTACCAGATACACAGGGCCAGGTACCAAATACAGCAATGTCTGTCTGGGAGTTACCATTGGATGTCCTGTTACCAGATACACAGGGCCAGGTACCAAATCCAGCAATGTCTGTCTGAGAGTTACCATTGGATGTCCTGTTACCAGATACACAGGGCCAGGTACCAAATACAGCAATGTCTGTCTGGGAGTTACCATTGGATGTCCTGTTACCAGATACACAGGGCCAGGTACCAAATACAGCAATGTCTGTCTGGGAGTTACCATTGGATGTCCTGTTACCAGACACACAGGGCCAGGTACCAGATACAGCAATGTCTGTCTGGGAGTTACCATTGGATGTCCTGTTACCAGATACACAGGGCCAGGTACCAAATCCAGCAATGTCTGTCTGGGAGTTACCATTGGATGTCCTGTTACCAGATACACAGGGCCAGGTACCAAATACAGCAATGTCTGTCTGATTGTTACCATTGGATGTCCTGTTACCAGATACACAGGGCCAGGAACCAAATACAGCAATGTCTGTCTGGGAGTTACCATTGGATGTCCTGTTACCAGACACACAGGGCCAGGTACCAAATACAGCAATGTCTGTCTGGGATATTACCATTGGATGTCCTGTTACCAGATACACAGGGCCAGGTACCAAATACAGCAATGTCTGTCTGGGAGTTACCATTGGATGTCCTGTTACCAGATACACAGGGCCAGGTACCAAATACAGCAATGTCTGTCTGGGAGTTACCATTGGATGTCCTGTTACCAGATACACAGGGCCAGGTACCAAATACAGCAATGTCTGTCTGAGAGTTACCATTGGATGTCCTGTTACCAGATACACAGGGCCAGGTACCAAATACAGCAATGTCTGTCTGGGAGTTACCATTGGATGTCCTGTTACCAGATACACAGGGCCAGGTACCAAATACAGCAATGTCTGTCTGAGAGTTACCATTGGATGTCCTGTTACCAGATACACAGGGCCAGGTACCAAATACAGCAATGTCTGTCTGAGAGTTACCATTGGATGTCCTGTTACCAGATACACAGGGCCAGGTACCAAATACAGCAATGTCTGTCTGGGAGTTACCATTGGATGTCCTGTTACCACCAACCGCACAGGGGCCGGGTACCAAATCAGCAATGTCTGTCTCTTGGGGTTACCATTGGATGTCCTGTTACCGGACACACGGGGGCCGGGTACCAAATCCAGCGTGTCTGTCTGGGGTTACCGTGGATGTCCTGTTGCCAGACTCACAGGGGCCGGGTACCAAATCAGCAATGTCTGTCTGGGGTTACCCAAATTTGGATGTCCTGTTGCAGATACACAGGGGCCGGGTGCCAAATACAGCAATGTCTGTCTGGGGTTACCGTTGGATGTCCTGTTGCCAGATACACAGGCCGGGTACCAAATCCAGCAATGTCTGTCTGGGGTTACCATTGGATGTCCTGTTACCAGATACACAGCGCCAGGTACCAAATCCAGCAATGTCTGTCTGGGAGTTACCATTGGATGTCCTGTTACCAGATACACAGGGCCAGGTACCAAATACAGCAATGTCTGTCTGGGAGTTACCATTTGATGTCCTGTTACCAGATACACAGGGCCAGGTACCAAATCCAGCAATGTCTGTCTGGGAGTTACCATTGGATGTCCTGTTACCAGATACACAGGACCAGGTACCAAATACAGCAATGTCTGTCTGGGAGTTACCATTGGATGTCCTGTTACCAGACACACAGGACCAGGTACCAAATACAGCAATGTCTGTCTGGGAGTTACCATTGGATGTCCTGTTACCAGATACACAGGACCAGGTACCAAATCCAGCAATGTCTGTCTGGGAGTTACCATTGGATGTCCTGTTACCAGATACACAGGACCAGGTACCAAATACAGCAATGTGCAATGCAGGAGTTACCATTGGATGTCCTGTTACACCAGATACACAGGGGCCAGGTAGAAATACAGCAATGTCTGTCTGGGGTTACCATTGGATGTCTATTTACCAGATACACAGGGCCAGGTACCAAATACAGCAATGTCTGTCTGGGAGTTACCATTGGATGTCCTGTTACCAGATACACAGGGCCAGGTACCAAATACAGCAATGTCTGTCTGAGAGTTACCATTGGATGTCCTGTTACCAGATACACAGGGCCAGGTACCAAATACAGCAATGTCTGTCTGAGAGTTACCATTGGATGTCCTGTTACCAGATACACAGGACCAGGTACCAAATACAGCAATGTCTGTCTGGGAGTTACCATTGGATGTCCTGTTACCAGATACACACAGGGGCCAGGTACCATACAGCAATGTCTGTCTGAGGAGTTACCATTGGATGTCCATGTTACCAGATACACGGGGCCGGGTACCAAATACAGCAATGTCTGTCTGGGAGTTACCATTGGATGTCCTGTTACCAGATACACAGGGCCAGGTACCAAATCCAGCAATGTCTGTCTGGGAGTTACCATTGGATGTCCTGTTACCAGATACACAGGGCCAGGTACCAAATCCAGCAATGTCTGTCTGGGAGTTACCATTGGATGTCCTGTTACCAGATACACAGGGCCAGGTACCAAATCCAGCAATGTCTGTCTGGGAGTTACCATTGGATGTCCTGTTACCAGATACACAGCGCCAGGTACCAAATACAGCAATGTCTGTCTGGGAGTTACCATTGGATGTCCTGTTACCAGATACACAGGGCCAGGTACCAAATACAGCAATGTCTGTCTGGGAGTTACCATTGGATGTCCTGTTACCAGATACACAGGGCCAGGTACCAAATACAGCAATGTCTGTCTGAGAGTTACCATTGGATGTCCTGTTACCAGATACACACAGGGCCAGGTACCAAATACCAGCAATGTCTGTCTGGGAGTTACCATTGGATGTCCTGTTACCAGACACACAGGGCCAGGTACCAAATCCAGCAATGTCTGTCTGGGAGTTACCATTGGATGTCCTGTTACCAGATACACAGGGCCAGGTACCAAATCCAGCAATGTCTGTCTGGGAGTTACCATTGGATGTCCTGTTACCAGATACACAGGGCCAGGTACCAAATCCAGCAATGTCTGTCTGGGAGTTACCATTGGATGTCCTGTTACCAGACACACAGGGCCAGGTACCAAATACAGCAATGTATGTCTGGGAGTTACCATTGGATGTCCTGTTACCAGATACACAGGGCCAGGTACCAAATCCAGCAATGTCTGTCTGGGAGTTACCATTGGATGTCCTGTTACCAGATACACAGGACCAGGTACCAAATACAGCAATGTCTGTCTGGGAGTTACCATTGGATGTCCTGTTACCAGATACACAGGGCCAGGTACCAAATACAGCAATGTCTGTCTGGGAGTTACCATTGGATGTCCTGTTACCAGATACACAGGGCCAGGTACCAAATACAGCAATGTCTGTCTGAGAGTTACCATTGGATGTCCTGTTACCAGATACACAGGGCCAGGTACCAAATACAGCAATGTCTGTCTGAGAGTTACCATTGGATGTCCTGTTACCAGATACACAGGGCCAGGTACCAAATACAGCAATGTCTGTCTGAGAGTTACCATTGGATGTCCTGTTACCAGACACACAGGGCCAGGTACCAAATCCAGCAATGTCTGTCTGGGAGTTACCATTGGATGTCCTGTTACCAGATACACAGGACCAGGTACCAAATACAGCAATGTCTGTCTGGGAGTTACCATTGGATGTCCTGTTACCAGATACACAGGACCAGGTACCAAATCCAGCAATGTCTGTCTGGGAGTTACCATTGGATGTCCTGTTACCAGATACACAGGACCAGGTACCAAATACAGCAATGTCTGTCTGGGAGTTACCATTGGATGTCCTGTTACCAGATACACAGGGCCAGGTACCAAATACAGCAATGTCTGTCTGAGAGTTACCATTGGATGTCCTGTTACCAGATACACAGGGCCAGGTACCAAATACAGCAATGTCTGTCTGGGAGTTACCATTGGATGTCCTGTTACCAGATACACAGGGCCAGGTACCAAATACAACAATGTCTGTCTGAGAGTTACCATTGGATGTCCTGTTACCAGATACACGGGGCCAGGTACCAAATACAGCAATGTCTGTCTGGGAGTTACCATTGGATGTCCTGTTACCAGATACACAGGACCAGGTACCAAATACAGCAATGTCTGTCTGGGAGTTACCATTGGATGTCCTGTTACCAGATACACAGGACCAGGTACCAAATCCAGCAATGTCTGTCTGGGAGTTACCATTGGATGTCCTGTTACCAGATACACAGGGCCAGGTACCAAATACAGCAATGTCTGTCTGAGAGTTACCATTGGATGTCCTGTTACCAGATACACAGGGCCAGGTACCAAATACAGCAATGTCTGTCTGGGAGTTACCATTGGATGTCCTGTTACCAGATACACAGGGCCAGGTACCAAATACAGCAATGTCTGTCTGAGAGTTACCATTGGATGTCCTGTTACCAGATACACAGGGCCAGGTACCAAATACAGCAATGTCTGTCTGAGAGTTACCATTGGATGTCCTGTTACCAGATACACAGGGCCAGGTACCAAATCCAGCAATGTCTGTCTGGGAGTTACCATTGGATGTCCTGTTACCAGATACACAGGGCCAGGTACCAAATCCAGCAATGTCTGTCTGGGAGTTACCATTGGATGTCCTGTTACCAGATACACAGGGCCAGGTACCAAATCCAGCAATGTCTGTCTGGGAGTTACCATTGGATGTCCTGTTACCAGATACACAGGGCCAGGTACCAAATACAGCAATGTCTGTCTGGGAGTTACCATTGGATGTCCTGTTACCAGATACACAGGGCCAGGTACCAAATACAGCAATGTCTGTCTGGGAGTTACCATTGGATGTCCTGTTACCAGATACACAGGGCCAGGTACCAAATACAGCAATGTCTGTCTGGGAGTTACCATTGGATGTCCTGTTACCAGATACACAGGGCCAGGTACCAAATACAGCAATGTCTGTCTGGGAGTTACCATTGGATGTCCTGTTACCAGATACACAGGGCCAGGTACCAAATCCAGCAATGTCTGTCTGGGAGTTACCATTGGATGTCCTGTTACCAGATACACAGGGCCAGGTACCAAATCCAGCAATGTCTGTCTGGGAGTTACCATTGGATGTCCTGTTACCAGATACACAGGGCCAGGTACCAAATCCAGCAATGTCTGTCTGGGAGTTACCATTGGATGTCCTGTTACCAGACACACAGGACCAGGTACCAAATACAGCAATGTCTGTCTGGGAGTTACCATTGGATGTCCTGTTACCAGATACACAGGACCAGGTACCAAATCCAGCAATGTCTGTCTGGGAGTTACCATTGGATGTCCTGTTACCAGATACACAGGACCAGGTACCAAATACAGCAATGTCTGTCTGGGAGTTACCATTGGATGTCCTGTTACCAGATACACAGGGCCAGGTACCAAATACAGCAATGTCTGTCTGGGAGTTACCATTGGATGTCCTGTTACCAGATACACAGGGCCAGGTACCAAATGCAGCAATGTCTGTCTGGGAGTTACCATTGGATGTCCTGTTACCAGATACACAGGGCCAGGTACCAAATACAGCAATGTCTGTCTGAGAGTTACCATTGGATGTCCTGTTACCAGATACACAGGGCCAGGTACCAAATACAGCAATGTCTGTCTGGGAGTTACCATTGGATGTCCTGTTACCAGATACACAGGACCAGGTACCAAATACAGCAATGTCTGTCTGGGAGTTACCATTGGATGTCCTGTTACCAGATACACAGGACCAGGTACCAAATACAGCAATGTCTGTCTGGGAGTTACCATTGGATGTCCTGTTACCAGATACACAGGACCAGGTACCAAATCCAGCAATGTCTGTCTGGGAGTTACCATTGGATGTCCTGTTACCAGACACACAGGGCCAGGTACCAAATACAGCAATGTCTGTCTGAGGTTTACCATTGGATGTCCTGTTACACTGTA